ATGAAGGGTACACCTATGATCCAGATCTTAAGGCTGGAAGTCACAGGCTTCTGACTTGGACGTTGACATGGAGATCTTGAGGCATGTTGGCAATCAAAAGCTGAGGCCCAGGCAAGATAGAACCCACCCACCATTAATCCCTAGAGACTGAGGGAAGTGGATCTCTGAGTTCAAAGTCAGCCTGGGACAAAACAAGGTCCAGATCTAGGTGTGGAGTACACACCTTTAATCTGAGCCACACCTTCTGCAGGAGGCCTAAATAAGGAAATTGGAAAAAGACTCACTTTGCCTGCTTGCACTTACTGCCAGCACATCTGTTGATATCTACTTCTTCAGGGTTCCAGTTTATACAGAAGACCAGGTAAAACAAATAAGCCTCACGGACTGGACGACTACTAGACTTTTTGACTTCCCATTCACAGCTGCCCACTGTTTCATTAGTGGGACTACAGACTTTAAGTCATTACAGTAAATTCTCTTACTATATACAGAGAGTCCATAAGTTCTGTGACTAATACACAAGGAAAAGGCAAAAATCTGCTTGACCTCAAAGGAGGAAGTAGCAGATGGTTTGAATGGACACGGTAGAGTAACATCTCTGGAGTGGAATTTAAAGTAAGACTGAAGAGCACTGTTTATTCCAATATAAAGAGGAGACAATGAATGCAGAACTTCCTCGAAACTAAATGAAATATGCGATAGACAGGGGAATCTAAAGCAGTATCCAATGACCATCTAATCAACAACATATTTGAAGACAGTCTACCAAATATATTTTTAAGAAAGAAATGAAGCACAGACTTCAATTCCCATATCAGGAAGGAATTAAACTATAATCACAAGTAAAATACCTTTTGAGAAAATAGTGCCATTGATCTTTCTGTTCTTTCGAACTGTAATGTTAAAAGGGAAAAACAGGATTAGAGTTTTGACAATGCTAAGACATTTAAGATTATTATAGAAATTATAAAAATTATGATAAACAATGGGCATCCTGAGGGTGCATGTGTAGATGGTATTCTCCACATGACTGCCTTTCTGAATGACATATTTCACCAGAACACTTGTATGGCAGGAAGTTGAATATAGTGTGGAAACCAGTTGGGAATGTCAAGACTTGACTATGTTCCCAGAGCTGTTTAACTATGGCTGGATCAACAATTACTCTTCATTTCAGTTTATATATATATAAAAGGATAGTTAAGATGATGTCCTCTTACCATGGGTCCAAGTTAACATAGGAGGTATCATTATTCACACTAAACTACAGGTAAGGTATATGACCTTTGGTTAGAAAGCACTTAACCAGGGACGAACACTTTTTCGGAAAACAACTATTTTTTTATTTCCTTGTATGAGTTACAGAATTGGCATACAAGTCAGGATATCCTAGAAACTAGTGCTTCACTTCTGTGGGTCCTCACATTAACTTTCCTGGTACAAATTAATTTTAAGCCCACCACTATTCCACATAGCATGTAAAAGTCTAATGTAAGATGGGTAAATTCACAATGCTAACATTTTATAACTGTAAACTTTATGTTGAATGAGTTAGACCTCATTGATATTTAACACATTCAGTGTCTTGTAGTCATCAACATTATCTCGTTAATCAGCTTTTTGCTTATTCAAATAGCAACCCTTACCCAAAGCAATATTCCTCTTCCCCATGCTCACAACTCTGTTTCAGGTAGTGTTTTTCTTTCTGTAAGCTAATGTGTACATTGTTTCCTCTTTCTGAAAATAATTATCCATGCTGAAAAAATCTTTAGATGCAGGGGAGGAGAAAAAGATTCACCATGCTACAGAGAGTGAAAGAATCACCAAGCTTGTGAGCTCTAAGGCAGATTGGCCATTGGCTGCTTCCTCAACTTGTCTAGGGTTGCAGAGGGGATCTTAGAGATAGAATTATGCTGAGGGTAGATTTAGGGTGCTGATCTAGGAGGAAGGTGACTGAGCAAACAACGTTGAGGACAGATGAGAGGTGTTGAGCTGAGAGTGAAAAGAAGGGCATGATAGCTGAGGAAGGCTTAGAAGAGTCTGGCTACTGAGCTAAAGAATATCAGAATAACCTAATGTGTGTGTTTCTATCATCTGCCAATCCAATGGAATCTTATCTGTTGATCTTTATCCTCATTAGTTAACCATTAGACACCAGTGATACTCTACTATACAGATATTCAAATACTTGAGTATTCTCTGAGTAACTATTTTTAGTTCAGCTCAACTAAATACTATGTTTTATGGAAATTAACTGGGGAGTATGGGAGGTATTGGTCAAATTAATTATACTATACAATATTATTGGAGAGAAATCAATCTGTGTTCTTTGAAAACCTAGATAATACCAAACATTATGGGGAAAAGAATGTGAAGGGTATGATAAGTCCTCGATTTATCCACATCCTTCGGAGAAGACAGTGTACCTCCATCCTGCCCTAAGAATCTTTTGGAGTCCTGATGAACATCACAGATCAAAAACTAAGGAAGCTACTTACATGAGAAATGTATGCTGTGGAAAGTATAGACAAACTAGAATCCCCATAGAAGGGGAAAATCTGAGTTGGCAACCTATGTACAATCAGACTAAGATGGATTCTTATATTGCAAACATTCTGATTAATTGGTTTAACCTGTGAATTATGAAGCAATAAGTTGCCCCACAATTTCTATACTCACCCTCTTGTGAATACAGGTCCAAACTATAGGTCTTACCGAAAGGTGGCCAAAAAGTTTCCAGTGGGCCAAAACAAGAAAAGGGTCTTGCAAGTATCGATTTCTTCTATACTGAGGTCCTCACCATCCATAACCCATAGGTAATTCAATGGAATAATACATTTTATCTTAAACTTTTTCTTAGTCCTAGAAAGAGAATTAAGTATCTCTGTTAGTTTGATTTGCATTGTAGTTGCAATGGCTTGTAGAAGAAATACCCAGTTCTTCCTGCCCCAGAACAGGAGAGGACTCCTCCATTTTATCACTCAGGCACAGCTCAAGCCATGGTAGATGGAACTCAAGAAAGTGTATGTTGAAAGAAATTACTGGATACAAGCTTCTCAATGCACACGAATAGACATAGCCTGATCGTTTTCTGATGGACAATGTTTAAAATGACTATACTATGAATATGTGTGTGTGTGTGTGTGTGTATGGCATTTCAGAAAGCCACATGTTTCAACATTTCTTCCCTTAATTTTGTTAGTTAGCAACCATTTTGTTGTATTTCCATAATGTTCATGCCAAAACTATTAGTTAAAATTTTGTATTTTGATTAATTACATATAATAATCTTTCTAAAGTAAATTTAGAAATATTGTATGATTCAATACAACTCATTTTCCATTCTTCTGTATACTAGGAAGTCATGTCAGCTCAATACAATGGCTCATTTATTAAACGTACAAAGCATATTTCATACAAGCATCCAAAAAGATTATTCTTCCAATAATTTAAACAAATAATAAGAAACATGTTCCTAGCAAGCATTCTGATCTATCCAAAGTGTTTATAAGAAACATTAATCTTTAAAGAATAAATTTCCTTCTGTCATCAGTCCTTTTATATGGAGTTTGTCCTTTGAGAAATTCACATACATATACAATGTGTTCTGATTATTCCTTTGACCGTCTCTCTTTTTCCTGTATTGTGACAAAATCCTTCTCAGACTCATGACTATTCCATTTTTTTATGATAGATTGAATATTACATCACACTGTGTGTTTGTGTGTGTGTGTGTGTGTGTGTTTGTGAATTTGGGTATGTAACTCTGCCTTGGACACTGCTAAGCTAGTATGTTGGTCCAAAACTGAAGATACTGACTCTGCCTCTCTCAGATTTTGGAGAAAATATGATGCAAGTAAAAACCTTGACAGAAAGATCCTATATATAAGTTTTTTTAAACTTCAAAAAGTGTGACTTTTGAAACATATTACCACAGAGAAAGATTTCCCACACTATCTAAATTAACATGTAAGAGTCAAAATTCAAGCATATTATGTTAAAAAAGCATTCTCACATACAAACATACAAACACATGTCTCAATCATATGAAACATTTGTACTTACATTTTCTTTCCATTTCAAGACATCTAATTATATACATACATGTATATATACATAAATATATAAGCATACACATGAACCAAAATTCAAAAGAAATGCATAAACCAAAAACCTCTAATTCTAATATGTCTGATAAGAGATAATCATCCTTGAAAATGGAAATAATGACAATCATCTCTTATGAGAATAATAATTCTCTTTCCATAGTATGAATGACAATCTCAAAATAGTTTTAGTTATTACCACTACACAGCAGAAGTGAAACAAATACATGGTCCATCCTTCTTGTCTTGTCTACTCAACTTACCCTCAGTCCACAGTTGGAAATACATTTTTTAAAAAAGTAATCAACTCATTTGAATTGAAATTATGTATATACTGATTGTGTGCCTTTTAAGTGTAGTTGGTGTAACTAAGTGAAATTCACTTTGATTTTTGAGAGTAAAGGAAACTAAAGTTGATAGACAGCCAGGTCATTCACTCATCTTGCTCCTGCATCAATAAGAGAGTAACTACCATTTTCTATGCTGGGAGTTTACAGAGACTGATCAGGGTTGAAAGCCAAGTTTACCCCATTGGTTGTATCTATAATATATGGAAAAATTCTCTCCTGAACATTTAATTTTCTCACAGTTTTTGAAGTGGATCTACAGAAATATTATTAAAGGATGACCATAAAATTTATCCCCTCAAACTGAATAAACGATATTATTGATGTTTGTCCTCCAAACCATTTATAAACTCATGAGAACATACCTTAATTTATTTACTTGATAATGTCAATACCAAAATCATATCTTCTAGAATAATTTGAAGGCTATGATCATGGCCAGTGGAGATTATATGTGGTGTGGTCCCAGAAAACCCCTCCATGGTTGTAAGTTACAATGCAACTTCATTTAATCGCAACAGTTTTCTCTAGTATGTGCAGAATCACCAACTGGGAACTTCTCAGTATCTGCAATTTCTCCTGATTAGTATCTGCTATTTGTAGGGATAGTAGCTGCTTCTTGTCTCGTCATACTAACTTGGAAACTTTGGTTTATGCATTTCTTTTGAAGTTTGGTTCATATGTATGCTTATATATTTATGTATATATACATGTATGTATATAATTAAGAGGCTTACATGTTTTGCCACTTGTGCCACTTTTGATCCTTGTACAAGGATCATAATCAGGGATTTCCCTCTCTTAGATCTAGAGTCTATCTGGAAACAACAAGCAAAAGAACACCTACTTCTCATATTAAATATTTTAATTTGAATATTTTAAATATTTTAAATATTTTATTTAAATATTAAATATTTAAATATTTAATATTTAAAGATTTTAGTTTGTGAATATTTTGAGTCCACATATCCCACAAAGTTTCAATACTCATAGGTCGTCTTTAACAATGCTCGAATTATCAGCATATGCTTGCACATCTGCCTTCTTTTCAAGTTTGTTGATATTCTTTCCCCAGATTCAAATAGCAGATAGCACCTTAAATAATTCATTTTTTAAAAAATGTGTCTAAAACTTGTGTCAAAATAAATTGAGAAATGCGTAGGGAAGTGTCCACCAAACCTCAACACTGGTAAAAGAAAAAGAAATTTCGATAAGTAATGAAGTAAGTATAATCTTTTTTAAAAAGAAATTTTAAAAAACCTAATTTTTGTTGTTCAAAAAGTCCTAATTAAATTGTAGTCTTTCATAGTAAAGAATGCATGTTGCACATACTCACAGGTTACTAGATACAACCAAAACATCATTAAATAAGGATAGATGTCTTTTCTTCCTTTTTCTTCCTCTTGTGATTTGTACGGGGCCTTGGCACAACAAGGTTCGTTGTATTTCTCCCCTGTCTTCTGTCACAAGGGTTTCCATAAACAAAAAAAATAAGAATACTCCTGGTACAGTTCTCCACCTAAAAGAACGATATTCATTGTGTAAGTAATATGACCAATGTTTGTCCTAAATTTTAAAGGGTTCATGATATTAAAACATAGTAAATAAATTGAAAGAGAAGATCTGAGAAATATTATAGCAACAGTTATTATGGTAACAATTAATATATGATATTCATATGTGAAATTCAAAAATAAAAATGTAATATTAAAAGATAATTGTAACTCTTAACATAAATGATATTCTAATGGGAAGGATAGTAAGAAATTAAAAAATTAATCATCATCAAAAATTTTAGACTGCTTTTTACACATGTGAATACCCTAGCCTTTCCTATATTGGTTAATGTGTCTGTTTCCTTCAGAAATTTATTTTTAATGTGATTGTCCTTTCACCAAACTGTCTTGAATGGTGAAAACTTAGAAATAAGCAGCTGGTATATGTTGTCTTCTGAAGGTATAATTGGATTACTCTAAACCACTTAAGCCAAAGATCTCTCTCTGCTTTTGTGATCTTGATTTTCAGCCAAGCTTACAAAACTGTTATAATAAACTAGGTCTCTGTCAATCAGAAAAACAAATAAACAAATAAACCCTCTATCATTCAAAAAATATTTGTGAATTTGATCTTGTCCAGAAAAAGGGGTCATTTCTTTTGCCTCTTGCCTGTTGCTCCTATAAGAATATGATATATCTTTCGAAGAATCTGTAGGGAGTCACCAGCTTTTATGTAGAAAGCATTTAAGACCTATGAGATTCGAGAAGTCAGGAAGAACAGCAGCCAATAATAATCAACAGTCTCATCAAATATAAAGATATTTTACCAAATAATACCAACTCAGGTTCATGATATTCAAAATTAAAAGTAAATGAGCATGTTTAGAAAATGATTTCTTTCTATCTGAATGAACATTACAATACTGAGAACTTTTTTTAAAAAATCACAACATATGTAGAGGAAAAAATAATATGCTGAAAACCAGAGAGTTTATAGATTTTAGGT